CTGTGTCTCTGGCTTCACGGCTCCTTCCAGGCCAGGTTTGTTGACTCCCCAGACCCAGGACAGGAGCTGAGCCCCAGGAACCCGGCACCCCCTCAGGGCCCTCAGATGAGAAGCACAAGGTCAGGTCAGGACACAGGACTGGCTTCATGATCTGTGGACCCCCGGCTCAAACCTGATTCACAACATGAAGGGCGCAGCCACAGATCTGGGCTGGTGCAGGCCCTCGACGGAGGGGATCTGCGGCCCAGAACACTGTGAGCCCCACTTTTGCATCACTCAGTGCCAGTAGTTGTACATGAGGAGACGTCCCCGTGGCATGGGATGACCCAAGGAAAAGAGAACATTTCCCTTCACCCTGGAGTCACCCTCCCCGGCTGTGCTCTTGAGGTCCTGTGAGCTCTGAGCACCCACTGTCTCCCCAAGGAAGAGCAGCGACGCATGAGGTGTGTCTGTTGCCACTGCCCCTCACACACGCGTCTGGGCTCCGGGGCAGGGCAGTCTCCAGCTGCCCTGGCCAGTGTCCATGTCAGGGACTTGACAAGAAACAGAGAAAAGGGTGTTGTCATGAAATGCTAATGGCCCGCCCTGAGCTGAGGGATCAGACAGCAGGGGAATCCCTCCCAGGGGAAGGTCAGTGACAGGATGAGTCTCTCTTGGGACCATCTGGGACACAGACGTCATGAAAATCCCTGGGACTCTCTAAGGATAGAAATGTTTGAGAGGGCTTCCCTGGTGGTGCAGCAGGTTGCGTGCAGCACTGTGAAGCTGTCCGCGGGCTCTACAGTGCAAGCTCGTACCCCGGCCAGCCAGGGAGCAGCCCTTATGGCACAGCAGACCTCTCCTATCTCCCCGCTGCTCCCCTCAGCAGTTTGTTTCAGTCAGTCTGCCTGTTCCGCTCCCCACTCTCTCTCGGGTGAATCTTTCCACCCCCACCCCCGCATCTCTGGCCTGTACCCAGTTCTTGTATGCATAAATATGTAAAACTTAAAAAAAAAAAAAAAAGAAATATTGAGAGGAATAAACCAGAGTGATGTGAACACTCACCTCCGGAATGACACGTAGGAAAAGCAACACACTGACTGACACAGAGGTGAAGAAACTGTATGACTTGTGTCAACCCAGGAAGATGCATCTTCCCACTCACTGGACATTTTGCTTTAGAGCCCGGGGAGGGGCGTGGCCCTGTCACAGGTTGGCCCTGGGCCAGGAGGCCTGTGACATCTCACAACACTCCCTCACAGCCTCACTCCCTTCTCAGCACCCACAGCCCCAGCACCCTCAGTCTCCTGTCCCTGCCATGAGCGTCCCCCTCCTGTGCTGGGGGGTCTGGGGTCTCCTGCAGGCAGGTGAGTCCTGGGCAACAAGGTCAAGGCCTCAATGCTCAGCCTCTCCATTGTGTCTGCAGCTCCATCAGCTTCATCTCCTTGTGCACAGGTGTGGTGAAGGCTGGGGTCTCTCAGAGCCCCAGATTCCAGATCCTGAGGACAAAACAGCGTGGGCAGCTGAGCTGTGCCCAGGATATGGACTATGACTACATGTACTGGTATCGCCAGGACCCAGGACTCGGGCTAAGGCTTCTCCATTACTCAGCAAATATTAATCTCAGCGCCGAAGGAGACATCCCTGATGGGTACAAGGTCTCTAGACCAGACAAAGCCAAGTTCCTGCTCACGCTGGAGTCTGCCACCCCCTCCCAGACAGCTGTGTACTTCTGTGCCACCAGCTATGCACAGCGCTGCAGGCTCACCTCCTCTCTGCACAAGAATGCGGGGCTCTGCACCCCTGGGCTCATCAGAGCACTTGTACACTGTCAGCACAGTGAGTTCTGAAGCCCTGGGGTCCCCGCCGAAGCTGTGAACCCGGGTGAGTGAGTCACAGCCCTGGTGGCAACGGAAAATAGTGTTTCCATGTAGAATCCACAGGAACCATAGACCTCATAATCTACAAGCTGAATTCTTCTGTCTTTTCTCATCCACTGACTGTACTAATTGTCATGGTACATATTTTTTTTTGCCTTAATCCAAGTCTGGTTCATACACTCTTTGGTCCCGGGCTATGGATGCATAGAAGGGGACCCTGCATCGGCCAGGAGGGGAATGTAAAATGCTCATTTCTGTAGATGGGAACGTTGGGATCACATGTCAGAGTAAAATTCAGAGTGGTTCAGAATAAAGGTCTGTTCTAATTAGGACAGAAAACATGAATCTATGAGCTCATGGGCCGGTGGCCACTAAGAGGCGCTGTGGGCCCACAGATGTAGGGAAGCACCAGAGGGGGACAGAGCCCAGGAGGGCCCAGCTGAAGGGAAGTCTCAACTAAATACCTAGCCAGGCAGGTGGATCGAACACTGGGAGGACAAGGACCTGGAATGATAAGTCTCCTCTGCCCATGGAAATGAACATGGGCCTTGAACTTCAGTAGCCACCAGTGGGGCAGCTCCAGCACCTGCAAAGGAAACAGAGGGTGAAGGAGTTGGGGGATCATGGGCTGGTGTGAGGAGAGACGGGCAGTGGAGATCAGAAGTTTGTGGGCCTATGAAGAGGGGCTGAGCCCACACACAACCACGTGAGGCTGTGCAGACAGGAATGGACAAAGAGTGACCAGCCTTGGGTCCTACTAAAGGCACAGCAGGCCAGGGGAGTCCTGCAGGGTGAGGAACAGCAGGGCAGTGACATCGCAGCAGTGACATCAGCGGCAAGTGCCCAATCAGGCCCCAGGAGGTGACTAACTCAGACACCCCCCCCCCCCCGAGCCAGGAGCTACCAGGGCCTGAGGCCGCCATGGGCTCCAGGCTCCTCTGCTGTGCGGCCCTTTGTCTCCTGGGAGCAGGTGGGTCCTGGCACCCTGGGGAGCCCTGGAGGGCCTCAGCTGCCTGGTGACCAGCCTGCCCTGGTGATAGCTGAGCAGAGGCTTCCCCTGGCTCTGCCTCAGCTCCTGTGTGTCTCCTCCCACAGGCCCAGTGGACTCTGAAGTCACACAGAACCCCAAGTATCTGGTCACAGCAAGCGGACAGAACGTGACCCTGACATGTTCCTATGAGAAAGAACACACGAATGTGTACTGGTACAAGCAGGCCCTGGGCCAGGGTCCAGCGTTCCTGGTTCGGTATTATGGTGGGAAAGAGCAAGAAAAAGAAAGTTTCCCTCAACGATTCAAATTTGGGCAGTTGGAAGATGATTATAGCTCTGAGCTGAACATGAGCCTCGTGGAGTTTGGGGACTCGGCCCTGTATCTCTGCGCCAGCAGCTTGGCACAGCCCTGCAGGAGCAGCAGCTCAGAGCACAAAAACCCTCCTGCCCAGCTCAGGAAGTGAGGGGGAGGGCGGGGCGGGGGCAGGAGGCTCAGCCCTGGGGAGTAGGAGTGTCTCTGGGCTCCTGTGTATGATATGTGATGAGAAGAAAACCACCAACAGAAGTATTATTTTACTACCTTATTATCTGTGGGAAGTGTCCTTCCCTGGTTTGATTTCAGAGATGCTGCAGGGAGGAACCAAACTCAAGTCTGCTTTGAACACCTGTGCTTCCCACCGCCCCCCCAGGTAGAATCACCCTCATCTGGCTTCCCCTTCCAGGCCCAGATTAGCCATGCAGGGAGGATCAAGCATTTTACTGCTCATCACCCCATCAATCCATCAGTGTTATTTGGCTTATTTGTAGATGTGTGAGCAGAGTCCTCAACAGGCTGCTCCTCCCACTCTGGCTGCACGGCTCCTTGTAGCCCACATATGCTGACTCCCCCAGACCCAGGACAGGAGCTGATGCCCCAGGGACCTCGCACCCCCTTAAGGACCCCAGATGAGAAACGCAAGGTCACGGCTCAGGACCAGCTGCATGATCTGTGGGCCTGAGGCTCAAACCTGATTCAGAAAATGAAGATCCCGTCCACTGACCTGGGCTGACTCCATTCCTCTAAGGAGGGGGTTCCGTGCCCCTGAGCACCTGTTACCCTGGCTATACTTATCACTCTCTAGTGATAATTGTTCTGCACAAGGAGAGCCCCGAGACATGCGATCACCCAATAAAGAGAACATTATCCAGTCCTCCTGGATTCTGCCTCTCCCCTGAACCCCACACTCACCTGTGCTCCTGGGCAGGAGGTCCCCTGAGCAGCCACTGACTCCCCAAGGAGGGCAGTGACACGTGAGGTGTGTCTGCTGCTGCTGCCCCTCCACATGCGGGCAGGACAGTCTGCAGCGCCCCGGCCAGAGTCCCATACAGTGACTTGGAAGAAACTGCAAAGTGAGTCTGAAATGTTGATGATCCAGACGGCAGCGGCGCCGTTTGGATGGAAGGAGAGAAGTGGGACTGGCCACTAAGATGCAGAAAAACTCTTGGATGATTTGGACCCTCCAGCTCTCGTGCACATCAAGGTGCTACATATATTTTTTAAAGTTTCAAAACCATAGAAACGGGCCTCCCCAGTGGCGCAGCGGTTGAGCACTGGGTTACAAAGCTGCCCGCGGCCTCTGCAGCTCCGGTTCCATTCCGGACGCCGGGTGAGGGTCCCACATGGCGCAGACCTCTCCTGCCGCCCGCTGCTCCCCTCAGCAGTGTACTTTGTCACCCTGCCTATTCTACTCTCCGCTCTGGCTCTGGTGAATTCTCTCACCCTCCCACGCCTCTGACTGTACCGAGTGCTTGTATAAATAAATAAATCTAAAAAAAAATTTTAAAAAAGATGATAACATTTAAAAAAAAATTATAGAAATATTAGATGAAGAGACGAGTGTGAGGTGAAAAATAATATCACAGGAAGAAATAATATAAAGTTTCACACTGATTTACAAACAGAGCAAAATATAAGACTTAGGTCACTTAGAGTAACACACTCTCCACTCGGCGCTGCCCTGGACACTTGTCATTGGGGGCCGGGGAGGGGCGTGGCCCTGTCACAGGTTGGCCCTGGGCCAGGAGGGCTGTGACATCTCACAACACTCCCTCACAGCCCCGCTCCCCTCTCACCAGCACCCACAGCCCCAGCACCCTCAGTTTCCTGTCCCTGCCATGAGCGTCCCCCTCCTGTGCTGGGGGGTCTGGGGTCTCCTGCAGGCAGGTGAGTCCTGGGCAGGGCCCCTGTCCTGGGGGACACGGTCAAGGCCTCAGTGCTCAGCCTCTCCTTTGTGTCTGCGGCTCCATCAGCTTCATCTCCTTGTGCACAGGTGTGGTGAGGGCTGGGGTCTCTCAGATCCCCGGATTCCAAATCCTGAAGACAGGACAGAGCAGGAACCTGAGTTGTGTCCAGGATATGGGGCACAACTACATGTACTGGTATCGCCAGGACCCAGGACTCGGGCTCAGGCTGATCTACTACTCATCGGGTCCTAATGCCAAAGCCACGGGAGACATTCCCGATGGGTACGAGGTCTCTAGACCAGACATAAACAACTTCCTGCTCACGCTGGGGTCTGCCAACCGCTCAACGACAGCTGTGTACTTCTGTGCCACCAGCTATGCACAGTGCTGCAGGCTCACCTCCTCTCTGCACAAGAAGTTGGGGGCCCTGCACCCCGGGGCTCATCAGAGCTCTTGTACACTGTCAGCACAGGGAGCCCTGCAGCCCTGGGGTCCCCGCCCAATGTGTGAACCGGGTGAGTGAGTGACACCCCTGGTGGCAATGGAAAGTAGTGTTTCCATGTAGAATCCACAGGAACCATACACCTTGTAATCTACAACCTGAATTCTTCTGTCTTTTCTCATCCACTGACTATACTAATTGTCATGGTGCAAGATTTTTTTTGCATTAATCCAATTCTGGTTCATACACTTTGGTTCCCAGGCTATGGGTTCCTTGAAGGGGACCCTACATCAGCCAGGTTGCCAATGTAAATGCTCATTTTTTGTCGGTGTTAAAGTTGGGGGCACATGTCATGTTCAGAGTAAAATTCAGAGTGGTTCAGACTAAAATTCTGTTCTGGTAAAGACAGAAAACACAGGGCCTCCCCTGTGGCGCAGGCGGTTGAGCGCTGCACTGTGAAGCTGTCCGCAGCCTCTGCAGCTCCGGCTTGAACCCGGCCAGTGAGGGTCCCACATGGTACAGCAGACCTCTCCTGTCTTGCCCGCTGCCCTACACAGCAGTGTATTTCATCAGTCTACCTGTTTTTCCCCGCTCTGTCTCTGGTGAATCCTTTCACCTGCCCACGCATCTGGCTTGTACCCCGGTTCTCGTATAAATTAAAAAAAAAAAAAAAAAAAAAAAAAAAAAAAAGACAGTGAACATAAATCTGTGAGCTTATGGGCCGGTGGCCACTGGGAGGCACTGTGGGCCCACAGATGTGGGGCTGCACCAGAGGGGGACAGAGCCCAGATGGACAGGCTGAAGGGAAGTCACAGCTGAATACCTCTGTCAGGCATGTGGATTGAACTCTGGGAGGTCAAAACCCTGAAGTGATAAGACTCCTCTGCCCATGGAAATGGACATGGGCCTTAACCTCAGTATGAACCATAGAGACAGCTCCATGCACCTGAGGGTGAAGGAGTTGGGGGCTCACGGGCTGGGTAATTGGTGTGAAGCAGAGGAGATCAGAGGTTTGTGGGCAGAGGGAGGGGCTGAGCCCACACCCACCCGTGTGAGGCTGTGCAGACAGGAATGGACAGAGAGTGACCAACCTCGGGTCCTGCTAAAGGCGCAGCAGGCCAGGGGAGTCCTGCAGGGAGAGGAACAGCAGAGCATTGACGTCAGAGCAGTGACATCAGCGACAGGTGCAAATCAGGGCCCAGGAGGTGACTAACGCAGATCCCCCTGAGCCAGGAGCTGCCAGGCCTGAGGCCGCCATGGGCTCCAGGCTCCTCTGCTGTGTGGCCCTTTGTCTCCTGGGAGTGGGTGGGTCCTGGCACCCTGGGGAGTCCGGGAGGGCCTCAGCTGCCTTGTGACCAGTTTACCCTGGTCATGGCTGAGCAGAGACTTCCCCTGGCTCTGCCACAGCTCCTGTGTGTCTCCTCCCACAGGCCCAGTGGACTCTGGTCATGCAGACCCCTAAGTATCTGGTCACAGAGAGAGGACAGAACGTGACCCTGACATGTTCCTATGACACAAAACACCAGTCTGTGTACTGGCACCAGCAGGCCCCGGGCCACAGCCCCGAGTTCCTGGTTCGATATTTCAATGGAAAAGAGCAAGATAAAGGAAGTCCCCTCAACGATTCAAATTTGAGCAGTTCACAGGCCTTCATAGCTCTAGGCTGAACACAAGCTCCGTGGAGCTTGGGGACACGGCCCTGTATCTCTGTGCCAGCAGTGTGGCACAGCCCTGCAAGAGCAGCAGCCCAGAGCACAAACACCCTCCAGCCCAGCTCAGGAAGTGAGGGGAGGGCGGGGCTGGAGCTGGAGGTTAGCCCTGGGGGCAGGATGCTGTCTCTGGGGTTCCTGCATGCCATACCCGATCACGTGGAATACAGTCACATACGTTTATTTTACTAATTTATTACCTGTGGGAAATGTCCTTCCCTGGTTCTATTTCAGAACTGCTGCAGGGAGGTTACAAACTCAAGTCGGCTTTGAACACCTGTGCTTCCCACCCCCATACTCCCAGGTAGAATGGACCCTCATCTGTCTTCCCTTCCAGGCCTAGATTAGCTGCACAAAGAAGATCAAGCAATTTACTGCTCATCACCCTATCAATCCATCAGTATAATTTGGCTTATTATACACGTGTGAGCAGTGTCCTCAACAGGCTGCTCCTCTGACTCTGGCTGCACGGCTCCTTGTAGCCCAGGTTTGCTGACTTCCCCAGACCCAGTACAGGAGCTGACGCCCCAGGGACACGGCACCCCCTTGGGTACCGCAGATGAGAAACACAAGGTCACGGCCTCAGGACTAGCTGCATGATCTGTGGGCCTGAGGCTCAAACCTGATTCAGAACATGAAGATCACGGCCACAGACCTGGGCAGACTCCAGTCCTCTAAGGAGGGGGTTCCGTGCCCCTGAGCACCCGTGACCCCGGTATACTCATCACTCACTAGTGACAATCGCTCTGCACAAGGAGAGCCCCGTGACATGGATCACCCAATAAAAAGAGAACATTATCCAGTTGTCCTGGATTCTGCCCCTCCCCTGAGCCCCACACTCACCTGTGCTCCTGGGCAGGAGGTCCCCTGAGCAGCCACTGACTCCCCAAGGAGGGCAGTGACACGTCAGGTGTGTCTGCTGCTGCTGCCCCTCCACGCGCGGGCAGGACACTCTCCCTGTCCTTGGAGGTCAGTCCCTTGTTCTAAGATCTCATGGGTGCCTGTCCTCCAAGTGGGTGAGGCCCTGGATGGAGCAGGTGACCGTGATGCTGAGTTGAAAGTTTACAGCTTATCTGATTATTTTTCACCTTTATTCAAATTTAATGTTGCAAGGGCAGTTGCTGTGACTCTGTATTTTTTAAAGTTTCAGAACTATAGAAATAATTAGATGAAGAGACCAGTATGTGGTGAAAATTAATATCACAGGAAGAAATAATACAAAGTTTCACACTGATTTACAAGCAGACAGAGCAATGTATAAGACTAGTTCGTTAGAGTAACACACTCTCCACTCGGAGCTGCCCTGGACACTTGTCACTGGAGCCCGGGGAGGGGCGTGGCCCTGTCACAGGTTGGCCCTGGGCCAGGAGGGCTGTGACATCTCACAACACTCCCTCACAGCCCCGCTCCCCTCTCATCAGCACCCACAGCTCCAGCACCAGCAGTCTCCTGTCCCTGCCATGAGCGTCCCCCTCCTGTGCTGGGGGGTCTGGGGTCTCCTGCAGGCAGGTGAGTCCTGGGCGGGGCCCCTGTCCTGGGAGACTCGGTCAAGGCCTCAGTGCTCTGCCGCTCCGTTGTGTCTGCGGCTCCATCAGCTTCATCTCCTTGTGCACAGGTGTGGTGAAGGCTGGGGTCTCTCAGGAACCCAGATTCCAGATCCTGAGGACAGGACAGAGCAGGAACCTGAGTTGTGTCCAGGATATGAACCACGACTACATGTACTGGTATCGCCAGGACCCAGGACTCGGACTGAGGCTCATCTATTTTACCTATGCTTCTGGTACCTTATATAATGGAGACATCACCATGGGGTACAATGTCTCCAGAAAAAATAAGGACAACTGCCTACTTATGCTGAAGTCTGCCACCTCCTCCCAGACAGCTGTGTACTTCTGTGCCACCAGCTATGCACAGAGCTGCAAGCTCAGCTCCTCTCTGCACAAGAAGGCGGGGGCCCTGCACTCTGGGACTCAGCAGAGCCCTCTGCAGACTCTGAGCTCAGGGAACCCTGCAGTAGGGGGTCCCTGCAGTCGGTGTGAACGTGGGTGAGTGAGTCACCCCTCAGCTGCCCTGGGGACAGATGCCCCCGTGGCTACTGATTAAGCTTGCACAGCTCACCTGGCCTCTCTGCTCCAGCCCCCTGTCCTCACCCATCACCCCTTCTTATCTCAGAGTCTGGGTCTGTTTCCCCTCCTGGACATGGACCCTCCCTTCCAGAAGAGGCTCACTCCCGCTATGGGCAGCGCAGCCCCACACCTGCTCCCCAGGCACTCTCCCTCCCCACCAAGGAGCTCGGGACCTTGTGTTCGGCTCTTGTGGAGCCTGTGGACTTAATGGTAGAATGGTGAAATTTTCCAGCTTTTTGTCTGCTTATTTTTCATCTTCACTCAATGTTAATCTTATAAGGCAAATGCTGTGACTCCACATAATGAAGTTTGCACAAGTCCCTCCTTGACACACTCTAGACCAGGATGTAACGGAAATGGTATCTGGGAAATGCCGATTCCCTCCACCTGGTAGCGCAACACCTACTAGCCCAGCGTGGATCCTCAGGCCTGACATCTGCTCACACGGTGTCACCCTTGACTTGGCCTTCACCACTTTCTTCCCCTCAAATAATGTTTAGTAGGTAAAGTTGGTGTATCCCCTGTACACCAGGCCAGGGGGAATTGTCCCCCAACGGTGATACTTGGATCATATTTCCAGACCCTAACTAGGAAATTTCTCATCGAGGGGGCACACAGACTCCCCCATAGGCAGTGGGGGGCTCTGTCTCTTCATGAGCTTCTGTGATGCTGGAGTAGCCTGGACACCAGGAGCTCTGGTTTGAACGAGGGGCCAGTGGAGACAGCAGGATGAGACCTTGTCTCAGACATACACCCTTGGCTCAATTCTTGGTCTTTTGGACTCTAACAGGGGACTCGTCCTCAGGGACAGTCGTTCATCTCGTCTAGATGAGGAGGAGCTGCTTTTGGAAACATGGTTTTCATGGCCTGCATCTCTGCACGGTGTTTTCCACCATGACATCCTGGTGTTCCAGGCTGCAGGCCAGGGCCTGGACTTGAGTTTCCAACATCAGGCTCCTCCTGTGATTCTGGGCTCAGGGTCTGTGTCCTTCTCTCTGGCCCCTGGGATGCTGACATCTCACACCCAGGACAGGAACTGGAGGCCCAGGGACCCGGCACACCCGCAGGAACCTCAGAAACACAAGGTCATGGCCTCAGCACCGGCTGCATGGTGTGGGGCCAAGGCTCAACCCTGATTCAGAACGTGGAGGTCAGGGCCGCAGATCTGAGCTGACCCAGGTCCTCTGAGGTCGGGATTCCGTTTTGTCACCCCCATCCATTTATCAGTCAGTGACAGCATTTCTGC